AAAGCTGTGCAAAACTTGATTCAGTCAAATTAAAATTGAAGAGTTAAGTTCTATGACGTCAATTCCTAGATGAATCGTAATAAAATCGAGAAGGAAAATAGCGTGAAAATGGATTGTCAAATCTCGGTAAACAATTCTCTATTCTATCACCCATATATGAGTGACACGGCGGTCACAGCGTTAAAAGCGGCCAAACAAATTGCTACTTCATATTTGACTAATTTATATTATTAGGTTGGTGCGTATGAAATGTCGGATTTTTAAGCGAACATATAAAACCGCGTATCTTTCTTCAAAAGCTATTTATTTAATCCAAATATGCTCCATTCGCTTTGATACGCTTTTCCCAACGAGATTTCAATGCACAGATGCTTGTCTTAAAGAAAAATTCTGATCTTTAGAATCAATAAACTCTGATACGGAATTTTTCAGACTGTCTTCATTTTCATACCGTTTAGCCCCTAAAAACTGTTCTAAACGTTTAAAGGAATGAAAGTCGGTTGGCGAAAGATCCGGCGAATAAGCTGGCTGCTGCAAAATTTCATATTTTAATTCATTTAATCTCGCAATTGTTTTGTACGACGTGTGCGGCCGAGCGTTGTCGCGGAGAAGTATTTGGCCACGCCGATTAACAAGCGATGGGCGTATAATTTTCAATTTTTCGTGCGTTTCATCGATGTACCGGCAGTACTTTTCGGCTGGAATTGTCTCCCCGGTTCGAAGGAACGAGTAGCGAATTACTCCGGTCACATTCGTATCCACCGATGCTTTCGGAGCATCATTTTTCACAGACGTTTTGGGTCTTCCACGCGGTTCATTTTGTAGGGAAAAATCACCGGACCGAAAATTTTCGAACCAACGCTGCACTTTTCGATCGTTAATTCTCCCCGAACGCCTGGTTTATATCGCGCGCAGCTTTTGCAGCATTATTACCAAGTTTATACTCATCAAAACAAATTACACGAATATCGGTTGAATTCATATCCTTACGAAATTCAAAACAAATATCGAAATGGAACACTTTTGAGAAAATCTTCTTCGTTGAAACGTGACTCTGGCAATGGACGGTGCGACTATAAACGAGGTTACGCCGAAAACAAAAGCACAACGAAAACAGCGAGACAAACGTTCGCATCTAAAGTAAATCCATTTCACATACATCATCTTAATATTTGAGTCACTTTCGAATGATACTCTGAACTTTGACCAGGAAGGTACGCGAATAATCACCGTCGCGCGTAAAAAATATAGAGAATACTCTGCGAAGGGAACGCGAAGGGTAACGCGATCGCGAAAAATGCGAAGTAACCAGCTCGTAGGAAAATGTTCCCCGAAGGACAATGATTCGCCGAAGACGGTCGCGTACATCGTGCGCGAAGGGAACGGGGCGACGGAAGCACACACTGCAGTAAACCAGAATCACTTTGCGCACTGTAAGTCCGTTTAAGCTCGTCTTCATCGTTTCGCGTCTTCGCGGAACGATGGTCGCGCGCGGGAACGATGCTCTCGCGGGCTCGCACAGAAATCGAGTAACAGCTTTATGATCGGCAGAATGATTTGCGCGTCAGTGAATAGGGAACGGCTGTCCTCGATCAATGCGAGATTTCCTGCAGGATTCTCTCGGTTCCGCGGGACCATTACCATTTCCGCGACGCGCGCCGCGCGGCCTCCAATCCCCTTTTCATTCCTCCGCATTCGACGCGTCTGCTCTCCGTCCTCCCGGGGACGACGGACTATTACGTTCGATTACGCGATCCCCCGGTCCGGAGCGGATCGACGGTGTCAAAGATTTCAACCCGCAGAAAATTGAAGGATCTATTCGAGCTTCTTTCATCCGTCGAACGCGGCGCGAGGCGACGCGACGCGACGGAGCGACGCTCGTCCCGCGCGCAGCGAAATGAAAATTCTTTGTCTCCGCGTCGCGACGGAGCGACCGAGCGTTTGCCCACGAGCGTTTTCCGCACACGCTCGCAGGGGGAAGCGGGGGCCGCGCCGGCTGCCGGGGCAGGAAAAAAAACATGGCCGGGCCCGTTCGATGGCTAGGAGGAAGATAATTTCGGGGTGGCAGCGCAAATTGACAGGGCAACGGGTTCCCATTCACTCGAATTACGTTCCAATTCTGCCGGTGACTTTAGCATTGTTGCTACAAATTGGTACACGCCCTGGCCTCCGGCCGCGCACCACCTCCTCCTCCTCATCCTCCACCGCCTCCTCCAACCAGCCCCGCACAGCCCGCCATGTCCCGCTCGATGCACACGTCTCGCAAATGATGCGTGTGCAGGCCTTTTTAAATAACATCCTCGGACGATCACGTACACCGGCCGCCGGAAGGAGTCGGGGCCCGCGCGTGACGGATTGGCTGCTGTCGAACGAAACTGTTGCGAAACGTTTTCGATGCCGGTATTGGGCGGACGATCCTTCTGCGCACGGGAAATTTCCCGCTGCCGTGCGCGACCGTCGGTTCTACGTAGATTTTCATTCGAGGAATTGCGAGGCTCGTAACTGAACGCGTCTTTCGAACTTTCCGCGCGGCCAACCGCGCAATTGATTTTTGCGAAGGCTGTTGGATGTTGTGTACGCGTTCGATAAATATCGATACGGTCGAATTTCTAAAAACGGTTTGCGATGCATTTTCACGTCGACGTCGAAAGACGCGGTGTCGATTTTTAACAACTTGTCGTATCATTCTTTTCGCAGTTACGACGAATACGATGTTGTAGTAATTTTTTGGATTGAACAGAATTTATTCGAGCGATGACACGAGAATAGAATTTTATTTTGACTATTATTAATGGAAATTACATGAAATGGTAATGGATTATTAATGGAAATCGAGACGGACTCGTCAAAGTATAGCAAAGGGTTAACACGTCCCGCGCGACTTGTCCTTCAGGCCATTTGATGTTTTGACTAAAGATTGATATATTATCACACAATTTTCATTACATCATCGATCCATAAGTAATTAACTTGTTTAGATTGTAAAAGTCAGTGAGATCGAACTTTCTCGGTTAGTGAGAAGAAGCTGTTCTATTCGAATTTGTTTAGTAAAAATCGAGGGAAGGCGAAAGGAAAAGCTGGTAGCGAATTTTTTCAGCGATTGCTCGAACAAGCCATTTTTCTGCATCTCTTGCTTTGAAAATGTAATATTATAATATTATAATATTGTTATAGTAATATTATTATAACAATATTATTATAATATTAATTATATATCAGTATAATATTATTGTAGTAATATTATTATAATGTTAATTATATATCAATATATTATAATAATATTATTATAATATTAATTATATATCAATAATATTATTATAATAATTACATGTAATTATTAATTATGGTATATACAACAATTAAACAAATTTATGTGCTTTCTTCTACACTGCATTTTTTGTAATGTCTCATTCTGATGAAAATATATTTTAGAATTAAATTTCTCATAAAATATACATTTTCAGCACATTAAATAAATATATTTAACAAATTTAACGTGTACCATAAATGGTACAGGAACGTGTTAAGGAAAAAACTCCTACTTCAAATAACATCCAATCGAATTTGACGCAAGTCCATCGAACTAATTTTTAAACATGCAGAATAACGCGAAATTTATACCGAAGAACGGGCAGAACTTTCTACTAAAAATGTTGCGCAAAGTGTCGGCGGATATCGATTCGGGGACGCGCTGACGTGCCGAGCGGCTAAAGATTCGGGTGACGAAGATCGACGTAACAATGACCAATTTCACGGTTACGATTGGTTTACTTAGCGTTAGTTCGTGGCGCGGGAAACTTGGAAATCGAGCTCGTTAAAGTTGAAACTCGTTTGAGGGGGTCGGAACGCGTCCCAAGGAAGCGGCACGCGCCGCCGCCCTAGGTGGTCCGATGATCAGAATCGTTAACAAATAGCCGAACGGGACGGCGAACCGCGAAAAACGGGATAACGAGCCCCAAGGTGATCGTTTAGGCGTAATAGTTAACTATGAGCGGGCATGGAACCGCGTGCACGTAACCGATCGCACGCCATTGCGTTCCAATTAGGAGACAATGATCATTAAATGGGCAAGTGAGTCGAGACCGTGGCCGGAGATGCTGCGAGCACGCTACTTTCCGTGTTGAAAAAGATGAAACATGGTTCTTTTCGTGAAACGGCATGGCATACATTGGTCCTAGAAATCCACCGAACAAAAACATTGCGTAAGAAATTGAAGAGATTAACAGATTCGCATGAAAGAAGCGCACGTTGATAAACCCCATGTAATTATAAAATACAAGGTGTTTTCCATAATTATGTTAATACCCAGAAAGGGTGATTCCTGAGGTAATTTGAACTAACTTTTTCCTTTACAAAAATTTTCTCCGAGGCATCGTTCCCGAGTTATTAACGAAAAACCGTAACCAATCGGCGACGNAACAGATTCGCATGAAAGAAGCGCACGTTGATAAACCCCATGTAATTATAAAATACAAGGTGTTTTCCATAATTATGTTAATACCCAGAAAGGGTGATTCCTGAGGTAATTTGAACTAACTTTTTCCTTTACAAAAATTTTCTCCGAGGCATCGTTATCGAGATATTAACGAAAAACAGTGACCAATACGAGGCGAGGATTAGCTGACGCGAGGCGGGCGAGCCAATGAGCGGTCGAAGCCTCAGTTCCGCGCATTGGCTCGGCCGCCTCGCGCCGGCCGGAGCTCGCCTCTCATTGGTCACTGTTTTTCGTTAATAACTCGTGAACCAAGCTTCGGATCGCATTTTCGCAAAGGAAAAAGTTGCTTCAAATCACCTCAGAAATCATCCTCTTCCGAGTATTAACATAATTATGGGACACTCTTTATTTGAAACCGCAAAATTAAGCGAAATGACACGGATCATCCAGCAGTTTTCGTTTTAATTTCGTATCGAAAATTGTACGCGTCGAAATTCTAGCTCTTAAATCGAGATGGCTTGAACCGATGGCATAATATTTCACGTTTCTGTTTCTTTTGTCGCAGGTGTGGTTTCAAAACCGGAGAGCAAAATGGCGCAAAACCGAGAAATGCTGGGGCAGGAGCACCATAATGGCGGAGTACGGGCTCTACGGAGCAATGGTGCGACACTCCTTGCCGCTTCCAGAAACCATCCTGAAAAGCGCCAAGGAGAACGAGTCGGTGGCGCCGTGGTTGTTGGGTAAGGGCCGTCAACAATATTATTTCCCGGCGTTCCAAACGATTTTCGCATTAAGTTTTGCTAACTTCCAACACCCGAGCTCGGACAAAGTCTTCGAATTGCACGACGAAATTGCATGCGAGAACGCAAATGTCGGATCTGTTAATGGCTTTGCGTCGATTAAAAAGGCTGAAAGATGATCGAAGGCGCGCGGAGCCAGCAAACGCTTAATGATCGCGCGTGCAAAAGATAAAAAGAAACGAAAGAAAAAAGAAAAGAAAAATGAAAGCAGAGCAGAGAGGAGCAAATCTCGATTTTATTTTTCTGTTCGTCTGTATCAGCTCAATCATCTAAGACGAGCAGCTTTAGTCAAGATATCGAAAATAATCAAGAACTGATTGACTGTGGCCCCGCAGGGATGCACCGGAAGTCAATCGAAGCGGCGGAGCATCTCAAGTCTGGCGGCGAGGACAGTGGAAATGACCACAACGGAAGCGGAAGCAGCCCCCATCACAGCCATCACCAAGGCGGACCGACTAGCTCGGAGAGCGGACAAGAAAGCCAGGATGGTATAGGACCTTCCTCCTCGTCAGGTAACATTTTTAGCCAATTAAAACTATTTCGTAAAAAGTGCCCCGAAAACGTAGGGAAACTTTTGTTCGATTTGATGGAACTGGTAGACGTCGAACGACGGCGATCTCGATTCGGACGATTATTCTCCGGAAGAACCGTGGGAAATCTACTCTGTCCTTTTAAAACGTTCCGAATCATGATGATTTACGTAGAAAATTATGTAAAGTAATTTCAGATGATGGTTAGGCAATTATTGAGAGCACTTGTGTAAAATACGAATGTAAGAATCGTATAACATTTACAGAATACATTTACTGTATAACATTTTGTATAACAATTATACAACTGTATAACAATTACGAGAACTGTACAACATTTACAGTAGTGTAAAATTTAAGTGTAGATAATATTTAAACTTAAAGTGCTTCAGTTTAAGTCACTTTGACAGAAAATTTAAAATCGTATAGAAATCCACGGTTCGATGATATTACGACATCTTTTTGATAAATTCGAACATTTTTTGTCAGTGGAATATCTTCGAAAAAATGCTGATTCAACTCTCGAAATATTGCAAATTTTCTCCAATTTTCCTTCAACTTGTAAACAAAAATGGACGATTTGAGAAGAGGAGATGCGATATTGTTCGAGCCTCGCGGCTCATTTTCATAGTTGTCGATTGTCAATGATTATATAAAAAAGCTTTCGAATAAATCGAATAATCGTGTCTCCTCCAAATTGTCCATTTTTCTCTACAAGCTGAAAGAAAATTAGGGAGAATTTACTGTAAATACCAAGAACATTGAATTCGTGCACCAAGCTCAAAAAACGTGTCCTCGCGACAAATGAATACGTTTCACGCACTCGCGACGGATTACACGAAATACACAGTCGTCAGAAATCAGTACCCAAACTACAGTAATGTCTCCCTAATTGACGCCACAAAACTGGACAATTTGTGAAGAGGAGATACGATTATTCGAGGAGTCATGCAGCTCGTTTTTATAGTAATTGACAAAATTCGTAACCATAAAAATGAACCGCAGAGATCGAATAATCGTATCTCCTCTTCCTAAATTGTCCTAAATTTTTGTGGACAATCTGAGCGTCAATTAGAGAGACATTACTCTAACATACAAATACAAACTCTCATTGCTTCGCTCAAAGATCATCGAACTACAGTAATGTCTCTCCAATTGACGCTCAGATTGTCCACAGAAATGGACGATTTAGGAAAAGAGTGATTCGATTATTCGAGTCTTGCAGTTAATTCTTATAGCTACCGATCGTCAACAATGATAAAAACGAGCCGCAAGGCTCGACTAATCGTACCTCCTCTTCCCAAATTATTCATTTTCGTGCACAATCTAAGCAGTCGGACCAGCCCGTCGACGCCTACCAGCTTCAAAAAGCCCCCAAAAACCGAATCCGCTCGGGCGCAGCATGTTAATCGGAGGAAATCTCGAATTCCACAGGGATCGTCCAAGACACGGAGCAGCTGAGGAACGAGAGCATCGCCTGTCTGAGGGCGAAAGCGCAGCAGCACCAGCTCCAGCTGAGCCTGCAGCCAACGGCGGCGCCGACCAGCGCGGCGTATCCAGCAGGTCCTCAGACGAGCACGCTGCACGCCTCGGTTTAATCACCGTTTCGCCTCGTTTCCCGCGAGCCGACCAACCTGGGAAACGTTCGCGATACCTGAGACAGTCTGCTTCCGGCTGAGGAACCGCGGCGGACTCGGCGACCGGTTCGGCACCTGTAACCCTCGGTCCTCGTCTTCAGCGTCTTTCGCCGATCCCGGTCGAGATAGTCGACGAATGTTGCGTCCACCGGGATACGTGAAACGCGCGTCGAGTCTTCTCGAGTCCTCGAAGAGGATGACGGATTGGGCCGGAGGGATCGGGCCGGACGGGGACCGTCAGAGAGAGAGCCGGACGGGGAATAATCGCCGGGGTGCCGCCCTCGGAGGGTGTCGCGTGGCAGAATTCGAATCTCGGAGACTGAATCAGGGTAAAAAAAAAGAGAACAGTCTGGTGGAGCTGCCTACCGGTAATGTACAAACGGCGCACACTACATGCACAACGAACACGCCGCCATGATCGGGCTGGCGTCATCGAAGCGATCGCGAGTATCGCGCTGGGCCTACGCTGTTCTCGCGTTTCGCGTTTCTTGTTCCCGAGCCCCGGGCAACGGGGTACGGGGAACGGGGAACGGAACGAGCAACGAGAATCACACGCTTCGTAGTAGTCGGTCCTCATCAACGAAACGGTGGCCTACGGACGGCCGGCACGAATGGGGCGGATCATCGATCGCGGACCGAGGATACCGCCTCCGCCCGCTCGAACCTCCTCTCCGAATCGCGAACCGTGTCCTCTCGCGTCCCGAGGAGACCCGCGGAGACCCGATAACTAATTAGAAAGCTGTAGCCGCTTTGATAGACCGCGTGCCTGCGTCGAGCACGCCGCACGCAATCCGTATCGCGCGTTAGAGGGCGCGTTCGTGACGGAGCCGCGACGAGTCGGAGCGAAACGAAGACTAGAGCGAAGCAAGCTAAAGCGAAGCACGCTAGAGCGGAGCACGCTAGAGCGAAGCAAGCTAGAGCGAAGCAAGCTAGAGCGAAGCAAGCTAGAGCGAAGCAAGCTAAAGCGAAGCAAGCTAGAGCGAAGCTAGCTAGAGCGAAGCAAGCTAAAGCGAAGCACGCTAGAGCGGAGCACGCTAGAGCGAAGCAAGCTAGAGCGAAGCAAGCTAGAGCGAAGCAAGCTAAAGCGAAGCAAGCTAGAGCGAAGCTAGCTAGAGCGAAGCAAGCTAGAGCGAAGCAAGCTAAAGCGAAGCTAGCTAGAGCGAAGCAAGCTAGAGCGAAGCAAGCTAGAGCGAAGCAAGCTAGAGCGAAGCAAGCTAAAGCGAAGCAAGCTAGAGCGAAGCTAGCTAGAGCGAAGCAAGCTAGAGCGGAGCACGCTAGAGCGGAGCACGCTAGAGCGAAGCAAGCTAGAGCGAAGCAAGCTAGAGCGAAGCAAGCTAGAGCGAAGCAAGCTAAAGCGAAGCAAGCTAGAGCGAAGCTAGCTAGAGCGAAGCTAGCTAGAGCGAAGCAAGCTAGAGCAAAGCAAACTCGAGCAAAGCGTGACACGTTCTTATCGTTACGTAACGGAAGCGTTCGCGTCGAAGATCGCGACCAAGCGTTCCTCTTCGTCTTCGCTCCCGCAGCTCCAGTCGCAGCTCGGACACGAAGGCGCCGTTGCACGGGTGCCGATCTAAACGTTAAATATTCACGCAATGGCGTCGCGAGCCTGCGTTCCGGCGCGATGAAGGCGACGAGCGCGATCGCGATCGCGACTGAAGATTCGCACCTTTTAGACCACCGAACGACTTGCAACGAACGACTAATTAAACGAATCACACCGTGGATTATGTGGGACGAGAAACGAATTAGAGATGTCACATCGAACTCGACCTCGAGGACGCTGCCTTTGCGTCGAACGCTGCGGAACGACGTTCTCCGCGGACGTTTCCCGCGGCGAACCGCGGGAACGCGCGCGAGAATCCTGGATTTATTTCGTCGATAAGGCGTGAATGATTTTGCGTGAGAGTTGCGTGCGAAAGAGAGAAAGAAAGAGAGAAGAAAAGAGAGAGAGATTGAGGAAGAGAGAGTGTGTGTGTGAGAGAGAGAGAGAGCAATGATCTCGCGACCTGGCGAGACGCGGCGTGTTACTGCGAAATGTTTATTAGCGGAGACCTCCTATACCCCCCACACAAGTACTTAAAGAAAGAACGTAACTGTTGTCAAATGTGCAATATGTCGGTATTAAGTTCTAGTTCGTTAAGGCATTATACTTTATTTACGGATACACCTACGTGAGGCGGTGGTCGCGGGGTAACGGCGTCTCGACGGCCGAACGGAGAGCTCGACGTTAATTTAGAACTGGACCGGTGGGACGGCGGGGGGAGCGAAGAATCTTCCAAAGTCGCGGCTGGCAATCTGATTTCGATCCCGAGCACGGCGATTTAATTGAGAGAACCTTAGGAAATTGTACGGTAAAAATATTTTGATCTCGCGCGTGTCTCGTTGCTCCCCCCCGCGATTTTCTGGACGGTCTCGCGAACGGGTCGGCACGGTGCCTAAGAACGACGGCGACAGGCTACCGGAGATTTGTAATTTTTATTGTTCCGCTTGGACAGCGAGCTGTCCAACCGCGACGCCGTCGTTACCCGGCTCTCCCGCTCACTGTATATAAATATATAAATACAAAGTATATATATATATAAATATAAATATATATAAGAAAATATAAAATGCGAATATATGTGGTTACGAGAGGCACGCTAAGTCGGACGAATCCCTTTTGCGGTTCGCGTTCGAGGTCTGTGCCGCGAGTATCCAAGGAGTCTTGCTTCCGATTTTGCGTCACTTTTGCACGTTATTTTTGGGGACGCTGTCCCGTCGATCAACCGGGGATGGACCGGCTGGCAGAAGGTTTCGTTCGCCTTGGACACACTGGACTATAAACACGTAACATAAAGCACTATAATTTAAATGAATCAATTACGGGACGAGGTACCACATTCATGCTCCGCGGAGGCAACGGTGAAACGACGCGTGGTTTACGAACACCAAGATGTTGTTTTGTGAGATACACACACGCGCGCGCGCGCGCATGAGCGCACACACACTCGAGACGCACACGCGCGTTACACGCGCGCGCACACACACACACAGAGCCACGAGGTAAAATACAACGCGCAAAACATACGAACACAGAAGTAAGAACGCGCTTCGGATCTCAAGCGAACTCCCTATATCCGAGTGCCCCAAACGCATGCATAGTAGTCGGCTAGTGTATGTAATAAATAAAGTTTCTGAACAAAACGACAATGTGTTGGCCTTGTGTTTCGCACCCATCATTTCTCCTTTGGTCGCCCGAATTTGATTAGAGTAACCGAATGATATCGACCGAAGGGTAGACTTTTATCTCGAAGGTTTTTACTAAACTGCGGATCTTTGGGCATAATTTATATATACATATATTTTTTTAATAATTGCACAGAGCAGGAGTCAAATAGTTTACAGCTTTAAATAAGTAGATAATTATAAATTTTTAGGATTCGTCTACTGTTTCGATGTTCACTTGCTGTCATTCGGCATAGATGTATAAATTCCGCAATTTAATTATTATGCCGATAGTAGAAAAACACAGTGTTTGAAACAGATGTATAAATTCTGCAATTTTTAATTGTTATGCTGATAGTAGAAAAACACAGTGTGTGAAACACATACTTCCTATTTATTATCTTCTTTCATTTTCACACGCGCAAAATTGTAGGACAATTTTATTTGTTCTACGACAGGATTGCTTTGTGAGAAATTATTATTTCTTTAATAACATAATCCGAGAAACACGAATTTCGTGTCCAATCATTTTTTAATTGTCTTACAACTGAAGAACATATTTTTAGCGAGAAACGTATTTTAGATTCGACGGATCTTGGATAAAAATGTCGAATCGATGTAACAAAATAATCTACGTAGAAAAATCCGACATTTCGAGCGTAACGGTCCGGAAGAAGAATTCACAATTTAATTCTTGAAGCCCAGTTGTAACAGAAATGTTCGAGTCAATTATAATTGCTTTAACCACGCTGAAATTACGGACTTTTCCATCGCAGCCGTGATTTTACGTTTCTTTTGAAGAGACAAAGAAAATCGTAACGACCGAATATTACCACCGTGACAAGGCTTTGTTTCATTAAAGCCAACAATTACGTGTAATGATGCCCTTGGATATTTCAGAGGTCCCGTCGAACAGTACTTAATAACTCTCATTTAAAAAATGAATAATGGGCTTCGATGTATCGCGAAAATTTTCCGTTGCTTTCAAACGATAATGCCGTCCGGCACAGAAGACCTTCTGACGCGCGAAAAAATAATTAAAAGTTTATTAATTACCGCAGGGCTAGAATTTTTAGATACGCCGATATAAAAATAATTTCTCCCGTCCGGAATTTATAACGAACCTTGATAACAGCTCCTACAATTTTATCGCGTTACATTCGATTTGTTAAATTTACATTGCATTCGTGAAACATTCAAACGTCGAAAAAAATGTCTTCCGATAAATTATTTGCAAAATGCTGAATTTATTTCTGCAAGAAAGTCGTATCGAATTGTCAAATGATTCCACTATTTGGTACTATGGCGACATCTGTGGTGAAGCAGACATCCTGCGAAAGATGTAGGCTTTCAATCGCGCATATGATAATAGAGGACTAAAGACGATTTATAAGAGTAGATAAAGCACAGACGAGGTATAGAAGTAAATCTAGTCTCCAATGTGAATTTTTGTCAATTTTTATCACATATTGGTGAATTCCGAAGCCCATTATCATTTCTGTGTCGCGTTCATCGTTACTAACATTTAAGAAATTTTAGCTTCTTAGCGAGGATCGAGTATTCGGTATACCTCGTTTGTATTTTCTGACTTGAAAGCCAAAGTCTCTAAAGCAGGAATCTCCTCGCAGTGAGATCCGGGCATTTGGTATCAAAATGTTGCAAATTCTAATGTGTTTTGTGTCGAGGATGATAACGAGCTAACAGCTGCAAATTATGAACTCTTTAATATTGTAAAATAGAGTAAATTTAATAAAGTAATAAATGTATTGTATGATTTTTAAACAAAGTATGAGGATTTATATATATTATTTGTCTTACCATTTTCTAATCATAAATGATATTATTATGCTGCGTTCATTGATAATTAATTTATAGGAATTTAATTGTGTTCCTTATATTAGTTCACGACATCGTTGCTTCATCGTTGTAAAAGTAAAGATATGGGTGATGTGGAAATCTATAGATACGAGTGTCGCCCTAATGCGCCACGAATAGTTACTACGGTACGCGCCTGAGGTCAGCTGAACCGAAGGGGAGCGAGACGCTGCGACGAGAGCCGAGAGGCGTAGCCCTTGTGGCATCGATGTTGCGTGCAGTCTCATTCCGAGCCTTACTTTAAGCTATCGCACATTGAGTATTTATAATAATTATAATAATTTTTTGAGTATTTATACCAAGTGATATTTGACAGCCATGAACGAAGTAGGAACTTCTTTATATATTTGTTTATTCAAAATTCATTGTCTATTGATAAAATTGACACCCGTAGAAAGTGACCAATTGCTTAGATGAAAACAGCAATTCTTTGGTAGGTTATACAGCACGTTTTATGCACTATTTCAGAAATTTCGTGTTATTAAGTCTCCAACCTCTCGTGAAAGTCCCTAGTCGATCCGAAGTGGTTTTTTGGGCCTGACAAGGATATAAAACTTATGCAAAATTGTGCACTGTAAAACTTATAAATTTATTAATGTTGTAAATACACTCATCTGCAATAAAAAGTATATAAAACTATTGCTATGTATGTACCATCGCTAATTATATAATTGGTAGAAATAATTGCTCGACTGTCCACAGAAATAATTACACTATATCGTATTTCTTTAATAAATGTAGGAATGGTGCATGAAATTTTTAGTACAGCAGAAATGAAATATACAGTATATTCGCTTCTTCCTAACGTGCCTG